AATCAGCCCTTGGTTCTGGGATATGTGGCTGCCGAGTTTATAAGGTATGACAATGACATGCAAGCAGATTGGGCAATGCAGGCTTTATTTGCAGCTTACATTAACTTTTTTTTTTAATTTGAGATGGAGTCTCGCTTTGTTGCCCAGGCTGGAGTGCAGTAGTGTGATCTCAGCTCACTGCAACCTCTGCCTCCCGGGTTCAAGTGATTCTCATGCGTCAGCCCCCCAAGTAGCTGGGACTACAGGCTCGTGCCACCACGCCTGGCTAATTTTTAGTATTTTTAGTAAAGACAGGGTTTCACCATGTTAGCCAGGATGGTCTCGATTTCCTGAACTTGTGATCCACCCACCTTGGCCATCGAAAGTGCTGGGATTACAGGTGTGAGCCACTGCGTCTGGCCAGCTTTTTATACTTCGTACAAAATATGCATAAAGGCATACATTTCTCTTTTGGCCTATTGCTCCCATATGGCTCAGCACTAAGTAGTTCAATGTGCATCTCCTAAGAACACAGAGATTCTCCTTTGGAACTGTGGTGTAGTGATCACACACAGGAAGTTTGATACTGATGCATTACAACTATCCATATATAACGAGATTTAAGTTCTCACACTTGTGGCATTAATGATATATTTTCTGTCATGTTCCACCATTCAGGCTCTCTTTGAGGATAATGCATCGAATGTAGTTATCAAGTTTCTTTATTTTCCTTTAATCTAGAAAGCTTCCCTTCCCCACTTTTGACTTTCATGCCGTTGGCATTTTTGAAGAGTCCAGCCCCATTGTTATGTGATTATCTCTCAATTTTGATCCACCTGACTGTTTCCTCAAGAATACTGCATAATGCCTGATTTTTTTTTTTTTTAATTCTTATTTGAGCCTTATTATACTGCCTGGCCAAGTAGGACTGAGTGACTTCTCTCTACAGCAGTAGAAGCAGAGTATTCCAAATCGTCAGAGCAGATGTATACCTTTTTAGGTGTTAAAGGTTTTGTGCTAGAAAAACTGCCAGCCGAGGCTGGCTGGGCGCAGTGGCTCACATCTGTAATCCCAGCACTTTGGGAGGCTGAGGCGGGTGTATCACTAGGTTGAGAGATCGAGACCAGCCTGACCAACATGGAGAAACCCCATCTCTACTAAAAATACAAACAATAACTGGGTATGTAGCGTGTGCCTGTAGTCCCAGCTACTCCGGAGGCTGAGGCAGGAGAGTTGCTTGAACCCAGGAGGCAGAGGCTGTAGTGAGCTGCAGTTGTGCCACTGCCCTCCAGCCTGGCAACAGAGCGAGACTCTGTCTCAAAAAAAAAAAAAAAAAAAAAATGCCAACTGAGAAAACGAGAAGTTTAAGCTCCTGGACCAACTTTGACTGATTGCAAGTGACTTTCAAGGCTCCCTCAAAGTCTAAGCGTAACTGAGCATCCCAGCCTCAAAATGCATTTTAAAACTTTTTTTTCTTTCTTGCTTTCAGCCTTGAAACATACTTTGATATTCTTTGTTTCTCTTTTCCACGAGGCACGTTGGTGAACAGTGCTAGCTTATCTAATTAAGTGCTTGCCTAGAAATTCCAGGGGACAATTTTGAAACAAAAAAGTCTCAGGGCCCCAGCAGCAGAATGCTCCTGCTTGGGGGAGTTACGAACAGTTAGGCTACCACTACCGGGCAGAAGTCAGGATGACGCAAACTGGACCTCCGGACCGGCGATTACTCAAGATAGCGATGGGCAAGAGACACACAGAGTTCTTCCCTCCCTTGATATTCTCACATTTTCCCACACTTTTTCCTTCATTTTAAACCCCTTCACTCAGCCCCAAAAGGTGGAACGGTCTTTTAAAGGCTGGCCATTCTCCAACTGGTAGCATTTGGATAAAATTGATTTCCTTTCAGTACACCTTTTGCTTCTTGAGTTTTCAGCCCTTTTCTTACAGTGAGCAGCTGGACTTGAGCCGGCTATTTTGGGGAGGAAAGAGTCTCCTAAACCATGCCTGAGGTGTGCCGTGGACATCCAAGTGAGGGGTGGGGTAGAGACACTGGCTACTGAGAACTCTGCACCTGGTAAGGAATGATTGTGGCCTTCTCATCTGCTGCAGGCAATGATCATTCTGTTTTCTAACCTAACCTGGGCCAGTTTTACTGAACATCCAGACACACACACTGACACACATGAGGGCTGACTAGAAGTTTGTAAGATTGCCCTTTTCTTGTGGCTCGTGGTAAGCCAACCAATTTCTCCATAATCACAGCTCATATACATGTGGTTCAACTTTATCTTCATACAAATCCACAAATGCATGAACTCCCCTTGCAAAGAACTGTTGTTAAACAGTTTAAAAATTCACCTCCCATCCTCCTATTTACCAGTGTTGATCAACATCATAAATATAATGAGAAGATTAAAGGCTGATGAATTAATTCCCTCCCAGGTAGTAGGGAAACAACCTGGAAATATTCTTTATTGTCATTTTGGAACTTAGTTTTGAATATGGAAAAGCCTCATCTACTTGGAATTTAATTAAAAGTAAATAAGCTGCACTATAAAGATTTTACTGGGAAGGGAAGGAAATAGCATCCAGTTTCCTCATTGTGCCCTTCTGTTTAACTCGTCATCCAGTCTGTGCTGGGAATCAATTTCTCAGTCTCTGCCAAACAAGTTTATCATTCTTCAAATCTTTCCTGATGCAGTGGTAAAGAATTTGTATACTTATGGCCTTCTCGGTTAATTCTGCAAATAGAAATAGAGGGAAGTTTAGTAGTGTTTATCCCAATTTTAAATGAGCAGCCTCTTTTTAAAAAGTGCAATTTGGGCCGGGCGCAGTGGCTCACGCCTGTAATCCCAGCACTTTGAAATGACGAGGTTGGTGGATCACCTAAGGTCAGAAATTCAAGACCAGCCTGGCCAACATGGTGAAACTGGTCTCTACTAAAAATACAAAAAATTAACTGTGCGTGGTGGCGGGTGCCTGTAATCCCAGCTACTCAGGAGGCTGA